ATCCTTTCTTAACAATTTGTGTCAACCAGGTAAAAATTGCTGCACACGACCTCACCCTCCATTTTTCGGCCACAGCCTTCAGACTTGACGCGGCCAGGGTAAAATTAATTAATAAAAAAACTTTTATGTAGAAGTGAAATTTTCTATCGAAGATTTTTTTCACCAGTAGGAGAAAATGGTAACATAGATTTAAAGTTCCTACAAGACGAACATAAACAAAACGAACATTATGACTTGGTATTGGGCAATAACATAAAAATCTAATTGTATAATCATTTCAAAATATAATAATTTTTTATTTTAGATCTTCGCACAATAAAAAACGTCGACTTAAATCATCAGATGCTTGAAAAGAGTTTTTTAATATTTTTTTAATAACAAGCTCAATAACTCCAATAAGTGATAGCTAAATAATAAAATAGGCGTACATCGGTTTAGAAATGGAATTTAAACTGTTGATTTAAAGCAATTGAATTTATAATCACATACAGCTAAGGTAAAATCTGCATGATCTATGATAATTAAAAGATTTTTATAACTTAATTCATGCTAGCACAAGTATCTAAAATTTATTTTTAATATTTGTTAATTGTGATGTCTGAATGCTTTGTTTATTTTGATTTGTTTAAGGTAGTAGAGAAAAGAAATGTTCAATTGAGATATGAAGGTTCCATGAGGTCATCCCATGAAACTCGAGGTAAACAAATAGCGAAATTAATTTGCTCAGAAGTCGTCATAGATCAATTACCTACCTATTTCAAGTCTTGCCTTTTGCAATGCAAAATTCTAAAGGGCAAAGGTTTCAAACAACAATATTTAACGATAGGATTGAAACCCTAGAGATTTTGTCCAGCGTCGGTATTAGTCTCCAGCGCCAACTCCGCTCCCATGATGTGTGTTTCCCAACATAGGACGAATATGATTCTTAATGTTATCTAATCAGATAGTTCGGCATATTAATCGATATGGAGATGTCGCAGACGCTTTTTCAGACTCCTTGTTGGTTTCCAAAAATAAGATTTTACGAGCTTTGTGTGGTTCATGGAGCCTTGTTTATATATAATTTTTTGTATTTTGTATTTATTTTTGTATTTATTTTCCTTAGCCACAAGTTTTTATTAATTTGCAGTTATTTTCTATTTGTAATCTACGTATATTAGCAGAAGGTTGTGGGTTCGATACCTTACATAAAATTCATTAATTGAAATAAGTTATTTGGTCAATCAGATCACGAAATATAGTGGATTATTATCTACGTTCTTGTACTCTTGACGGTTCAGTTTTGGGTCATTTGAACCGTTTAAACTGCAATAAAATGACTAATGAATAAAATAGGATAGGTTCATGGAGTCCGTTTTGAGGAGTGCAATGTTATTTCAAGTGTGTACATTACAATTAAGTCAATTACCCATTTTCGACCTCGGTGACCGTGTTCCTAACTGGGCGTGACCCTTCCGGTGTATACGAAGGTTGGAAGCATTAACTCGGGGTAGACCGCAATGAAGTTTCAATCTGTTAAATTTTTATTTAGGTTTTTCAAACCTTTTTGGGGTATTTAAAATTAAAGCGGGATATTATGGGGTACAGAACTTATTAGTATGGCCAAGGACGAACTGGGTCGGGGAGGCATGGTGAATAATGCATTCTTGCAAATAAAAGGCTTCAACGCAAGAAGCAACTTTGGTTTCCTTTACAAACTACTATGACATATGTAATATCATATAATGTTGAATATTTTTTACTATTTTTAATAAAGATAGGTAGCAACTTTTAGTAAGACGTTTAGCTCATAGTCACTAATATATAACGTATAACTATGTTTAAAAAATTATTTTAAAACGTTTAAAAAAATATGTAAAAAAATTTAAATGATTAAACATGAGATATGTTTAAAAAATTCCGACAAGATTCAATATTTTAACTTAACATACGAGCAGCAATGAAACACCACTCATCTTGGATCTTCTGCCGTATTTCCAAACGGGTAAAAGTTATGAAATGAAAGTGTCAAGGAAGCGGTCAACCTCGGTATTAAGATAAAATACTTATTTTTTCTAATTTATTTTTATAGGCGCCATCAAGGCAATCGTCCTAGGAAAAATACGATCTCCTGAATGTCGGACAAGAATGTTTCGTAAATCTTTGTTTTCATACTGTCCGCGATGAACGAAAAATGGATTTTATTTCGGCACGAAGATTGCTTGTTCGTCGTGACAGTCCGAATGATGATTAAACCGCTGTTAATTGATAAAAGACGGACAAAAATCAAGTGGTACCGACTTATGTGTATGTCGTCGAATGTGCCAAATTGTAAATTTTTTGATATCCGTCGACTTTTTTTAACATCGATTCATTTACAAAACCTATTTATCATCGCTTCTTTTACTAAGTACTCTCAAGTACTATTAACCAACAGGATATTTTGAACCCTGCAGAAGCGAATTTTATTTTTTATTTTTTTACAAAAACAGTTTGTTAAAATAGGTGTGAAAATGTTAATATAAGGGAACCGCGGTAGCCGAGTCGTGGGTTCGATTCCCAACGTCGCCTCTGGCCCTTTTTTCCCGATAACCCCAAATTTGAACAACATATATAAGAATTCGTCATGGCTAATATGCAAAGATCATAAGGAAAAAAAATGTAAATGATGCGAACGACAATAACAATATAAATAACCTCAAAAAATGTAATAAACTCTTACTCCCATGCATTTCATATCTTCAAAATTATTATAATGTTCAAGGGGAACCTAGATTATAAGAAATGCAAGAAAAAAATTAAATCGACGAGAATTATTTTACTTATATACTTCACGTTACGAATAGGATGGGAGATGCTTAAATTATAGCGTATCTTATTATTTAACAAAATCTGTAAAGATGAATGAATGCAAAGTAAAAGAATGTAAATCTAACTAACATGCTACTAACTGAGAAGATTAATAATTTCTGAACATAATGACTCTGTTAAAAATAATTTTAAAAATTTAAAATAAATTATGACAACATTCTCATCACGAAGGTTTATTACCTTAATTATAAAGTTAGAAAAGCTCTGCCTCAAACAAGAACCTGGGACAAACAGAGATTTTTATTTTTTTTCGAATTACTGTTGTGTTATCTAGTAAGGTATATATTCTTCATAAATTATAGACAAAACTACAGTAAAAATTTAAAATATAAAGGAGCCAGCCGATAGATTTTTAAATCTGGTTGGACATGCTTCTCTTATATGTATTTATTGTTAAATAATAATAACAAAAATTAACTTATATAATTATATGAATATATGATAATAATTAATTTATGATATATAATTGATATCAGAGATAAAGGCTTTGTCAGAATATATGAAACATCGTTTCAATTACCTTTCTATGAAAATTGTGATAAATCAATTTAAGAAAACCTGAAATGTATAATTGATAACTGGTGAAATAGTCAATAATGATTATTTATGATACAGAGATTTTGTACATACGATGATTATGAGATTGAGCGATGACTATCACATCATCACACACCACTCAATGAATTGAATAAAGACAAACACGCACACACATAGAGCGCGATATAGAGATAAAGAGAACTATAAATAGATATATCGAGATAAAGAGAGATAATAGAGAATAGAGAGAGAACTAGGAGCTTCTTCCGAGCTAGATATACAAACAAGCGCCTAAGATCATGTATTAAATATTGAGGTAGGAATAATGTACTATTTAAAAAGTTGTAGTAAAGTTTCATAACCAGAAATTTAAATAATTGATACACTTGTAAGAAAGGGTTGAAATAGAGGAATAGAGAGAGAGAGAGAGAGAGAGAGAGAGAGAGAGAGAGAGAGAGAGAGAGAGAGAGAGAGAGAGAGAGAGGGAGAGAGAAAGAGATTAGGAAAGAGATAAAAAGAAATAGATAGTATATAAATAGATATTTTCTATTATAAATTATTGTTTGCCACAACAAATTAAAAGCGATTTCAACTGTTTTGATTAAATCGTTTACTTTGAGAAATTTAAGTAAAATAATTATTTAGAATGTATATCTAAATATAGCTAATAAAACAGATTAGCATTACTGTGCGTTTAATCAAAAACTGAATGTTTCCAAATTATCTAAACTGTATGTTTTTCTGTCTTTACTGAAAAAGCTCGGTTAGAATAAGAGAGTTGTATAATTTATAAGTAGTTCTAGAAGTTAGGTACTAGAAAAATATGACGAATAAATTAAACTATGTACATGAAGTTGTTCGGAATTTCATTGTACTTTTGTCTCAACTGTACCGGAAATCGTGTTCATAATTTTTTCTAAGAAACGACATTTTTGGTTTTCACCTGTTTTGTTTCTCAGCATCTTTTAGTTTCTTAAGTGAAAAATATATTTGTATTGTTCGAAAATTAATCAGTTAACTTGTTTGATTACAATTTCAAAATGCATTTTCTGGCCCGCATATTCTCGTTGTTTTCATAAAATGTATTTTCAAACTAGAGATCTAAAAATAATCTGTTGATTTTTACCTGGGTTAAATAAGGATTATTTTTAAATGAATAGTCTAAAATCAAATAATAGACAACTCTTTATTTCTTTTATATTATTTAATATAAAGGATTACGTTAGAAGGTAGAAAAACAAAACTACGAAAATCGAAATATCTAAATTAAATTCACTAATTTCGTGGTCCGCTTGACCAATTAATATATTACAATTAATTAAGGTTTCTAGTTGAGATAAAAAAGTATTAGTATTAGTATCTAAATTAAATTGTTCCAAATTTGATTGGCCTATTTGTTTCAAAAGCTCGTCACGTTTCTACGAGCGTACATAATTAATATTGTTTTTAAAACAACGTTTAAAAAATTAATTGATTAATTTTTCTACAAATTTATTTATTTCGCTTAAATCTTACATAGCTCAAAACCAGAAAACATGGCCAAATGACCGGCGTAAATGTAAAAAGGCGGTGGTGGGAATCTTGGGTATAAAATCGAGAGTATCAACCTTCTCTGCCCAGTCTGTCTGTGATCATGGCCTCGAGAAACTTTTACGTAAGTATATAATAAACAATTTGAAAAAACAAAGTGTGAAAAGTGTTCGGGCAAGGAAAATAAATATTAAAAAAAAAATTAGTGCATTTCGAGTGGTTGCAGTGGAAAGGCGGAAAGGGCTCCAGAAAAGTGGAAGTGCTTATGACTTTTAGGTCCGGACCGGTTTTGTACTTTACAAAACACCGGGTAAAAATTTAAAAACCAATTTGGCACATAAGATCAAACTTGTTATTAAAATCAATTAAATTTGAATAATTTACGGAGTAATGAGGCAATAGTTCATTATGATTTATTTATGCGTTTCACTACCGCGTGTTCACGTTTTGATAGATATAGGAAATACATAACTAATTACAAAAAAAGTCACTCTGAAGATAGCCAAACTATTTTCAATTTGAAAAGTAATCATGAGGATGAAGTGTTACTGTTTATAAAATTCAACTAAAATATCTGTAAACTTAAAACGTTCGAACGAAATGTAGTGTGTTTTTTTTTTAATTACCAGTACTTTTGAAATGTATAAGTCAAATAAAAACACCGTTGGATTCATAGATTTTTTAAAATTTGCTTAGCGATAGATCGGCGTTTTAATTAATTTTTAAGTATAATCTATTCTAATCACATCTATAAAGTGAGCTAATTTAATTTTGATTTTGTTTATTTTGTTACTACATTTAAAAAAAAATATTTTGGTTAGTACAAACTACTGACAAGTTAAAATTTACTATAAGCGGAAAATACAGATCAAATTTAAATCATCATCTAAATTTAATTTTAAATCTAATTACTGATAGGTTTGTAATTTTTTTACGTTTTGTTATGATCGATTTTATCTTTTGGTTGCCGATTTTTTTGAGGTTCGTTTACTTTTATGGCGGCAGTCCTTCATAAAAAGTTGGAATTAAAAGCTTCATTCATAGTAAATATTTTGGTTAGAAAATAGCTGAACACTATTTATATCATATATTATTATAAAAAAAAAAGTTTGTTATAAATTTACCCAATAGAAAGCTAGTTAATCTTATATTTTATTAATTAACGAACAAATCACCAAATTTAAAGTATGTGTCAATAATTAGTGCTTCTTTTATATTGTATATTCGTAAAATTTAAGTTATATTTAAAAAAAATTATTGGTGTTATAATTTTTTCCATTCTAGTTATGATTGATGGGTCTATTGTTAGTTGCTAATTAAATAAGAATTATGAACAAAGACAAGACTGGTACACGCATCCAACCCTTCAAGGCCGTAGAAAAGAGACTTGACTTCAAAGAAATTCCAACACTGAGGATGGCTAAATGTAAAACGCGTCTCATAGACCAACCCGCGAAGATAGGCATGCCAAAACGATCGGTAACGATCAAATTACAGGTTCATTCTTGAGGCCACAGGAGGAAATTTTACGATAAGAAAAATTCAATCTCCAAGGAAATATGACGGGAATTCTGGTTTTCAATGGACAAAATTAACCTGTTAAGTTATAGAATATAGGCCGTCAAACAAGTGAAAGTCCAATTTTGGATTAACTGGAGCACCAGATCTATTACAGAACTGTGTTTTCCGTCGGATCGGGGAAGGTTGTCGTTGCCAGTAGTACAGAATTCGAGAAAAAAGTGAACGGGTGGAATTACGTGAACAAGGGAGCGAACATGTGTCCATGCCCTCTCACTTATTTCACGAGAAACCGGGCAGGCGGAAATTCCTTCTCAAATCGGATATTATGTCTTTACGCTCTTTATGAAGTTAAATTTCTTTTTCGTTTGTCTTCTTTTTATTGATCTTGTTCACCTACTAGTTTTTAATTGTCCCTGGATTCGTGACATTTAACGCCAGGTTGGCCGAGAGTGGCCGGTTTCGAAATCTTCCGAGAACAAAAGCTTCGGCCCAATTTCCAGCTTGGCGCTAACAATTAGCTGCTAAGGGACCACCATTCTCCCACTTACTTTCTTTTTTTTGAATGGCTGCACGCTGCTGTTTGCTCAAAAAATAAAATCTCTTTATTAGATCACTTTCCAGCTCAAGGCGTAGGAAATAAAAATCAGTTGTTTTCTCGCTTCAGTTAAGTCTGTTCATAATGCAGTAAACCTCACGATCTCCACATAATGGAGTAAAGTATATTACCATTTTCAAGTATGCAAAATAGATTTGATTTAAAAAAAAATGGTTTAAAAACTGCTTTATTTGATCAATGGCTGGTTGGAATCTTTCAATTATATGCCAAAATGTGTCCTCTGGTCCGCTTATCCTCGCTGGGTTTTTTAAAATAATTAAAGCTCAAATGTATTTTCAAACTAAATATGCCAAAATGGTGTTGATTTGGTACATGGTCACACCATGATTAGTTAGCGATTGTTTATAAATGAATACACTAACATCAAGCCATTATCGTTTTGAATCACGTTTCAACCATCGCAGTTGTTTTTTGTTTTTTTATCGAATCGATTTGTGGTTGGTAGCTGATTGTTGATTAAAAAACAGTGTGCGGGAAAAAAACAATCACAATTCTACAAATGATAATTTTTCGACATAATTAAATATTAATATTAACATATTCATGCAATATGTATGTTGTATAATTAAAAATCACTCAGTAAAAAACATTGCACAATTTATTTTACTCTTATCTTTCCGTTTGATAAACTTTAGGTTTTTTAGGAGATTTATTTATGGAACTTTAGGTCTTTCTTGAGCAAGTTAGTTTGCAGAAATTGTCAAGGCGACTTCTTTTTGTATTAAATAAAAATAAATATAGTTTGGCCAGTTGAAATGATAGTGAATATGATTTTAAAAAATCTGTGCTTTATGATCGTTGCGTTACTGAAATGATACAGTTACACAAATGGTCAACACTATATTTTAAAAACACATTGTGGTATTTTGTGTAACAACAACACAAAAACATTTACGGTTTCGATTTGCATCGCTAAGGTGATGGAATCATGTTCTGTACGTGTTAACTTATTTTAAAGAACCAATGAATAATTTATTAATATCAAACTACCTTGTATAGAAATAACCGGAACAGTTAGATTTAAGCATAAAGTGGGAGTGAACCGAACTGGCGCTGTCCATTACCGTTAAACGGTTTTTTTCCATCACCGACCTTGCACTTTCATGGCGAACTGGTCATACAGACTGTCCTTTCGGAGAACCGGATTTGAAGACGTGGATAACGAAGGTTTTATTCTCTTTACATTCTTATAAACTATTATATTCCTTTTTACCTGCCTGTACGACATTTTAGTCGTCCGGTTGAATTGGGGATCATGGGATCGTTTATATCCTTGAAAAATCATAAGATGGCAAATCGCAAGATGTCAAATCTCTCGTTTTTTAATGGAGACGACATTGATGTAAATGCAACAGGAGAAAGGAATAAGAGTTCTCTTCACTTTCTACACAATAAATGACAAAATTTTATCAGTCGACAGTATTCATTTTATCACGCTGTTTTTCGTCAATTAGCCACATTAGTTGAGGGTATTTTATTTCAAAACGGAACAGTCAAGAGTAAATAAAACATGCATAATAATTCAGAATATAAAAACTCAACTTAAAAATAGATAACAACTAGATAATTACTGCAATAGAGTACAATAAAATGTGTGGACAGATGTTCCCATCTTTATTCATGGGTGTTGAGACCATGAGGTTCTTTAACTCCCTGACTTATCCCCGATCCGACTACAGACGCCCAGTGTTCTCAAAGAGAACACCAGGAAGATTTTACATGGACTTGTCACATCCCTTGGCTAGCGAGGTAGTGCATTGCTAACCAAGTTCAGAAGAGCCCTAAAAAGGGCACATCCATACATGTGCCTTGAAAAAGGCAGTTTTCTGGTTTCCGGCACGGTCTTTCAGCCGTGTCTTTCACCACCCCAGAAGAGATAGAAAAGACAATCTATCTCCGGCTCCGGTTGGCCGGTACCCTCCAGTTAAGGTACGATTTGTTTACAAACCACGACCACCAATAGTTCAACCTCTATTAGTAGAGCCGCTTGGATACTCTAATCCCGTGGTTCAGTATTATTTTTAAGTGGGACTGATCCCACCTTGGAGTTTATACCAACTCCCTACTGATGCACTCGTTGCCTGAGGGGTGCGGGTTCAGAAACCCAGGAAGCCTCTGCAAAAGCAGTGGTGGGAGGGGGGGAAAGGAAAGGGGCAAGGAAGGATAGGGAAGATAATGGGAATTTTGCCTTTATCATTGGTTACCCCCAGGCACCAGGGTTGGTGGTCGGACTTTGGCTGGGACCACATGTGTGGAAAAGGAAAAAAGCCCATTTAATCACGTTTTCACTGCTAGTAATGTTTTTTTTTTTTTAATCGACAAGGAATCATAGAAAAGGTCCGCGACATATCTATTTCGATTTATGTGCCGAACTATCCGAAAAAGACAAGTTTTTCAACCCAAAATTGGTCGAACTCAACAACTATGTTGGGGAACACAACATCACGGGAGCGGAGACAGGACACAATACCAATGCCGGAGAAGATCTCCGGGGAATCAAGTCTATTATTAAGTATCTTCCGTAAGAACAAGCCAAAATTGTTCTGCCTTCTAAACGGTCCAAATTCAATCTTCCCGTTTAAGGGAGTTCACTACTGTCATGTAATTTGTACGACAAATATTTAGATAACCTTCTTTGCACCCTCTCAAACTTGAGCGATCTGCTGTTTGATCCGGGCGATCAAATAATATTGCACAGTCCAGTTGGCCACTTTCAGTCGTACATTTTTAAAATCTGCCTTTTAATGAAGTCCAAGGTTTTAAATTTTTTTTTTATTGAACTGGTATTAAAATGTCATAGGCAGAAATACTATATTAAACAAACAGCGGATAGATTTTGACTGTTGTTTTAATTGTAGGTTCTGAAAATCTATTGTCTTGGTTTAAACGATTATCTTTCAAACAAAGAAACTCAAGCGCAATCGATTAAATTACTTTTTGCTTAAGGCCACATAGGCAGCGACGATGGTTTTTTTTTCTCAAGGGGTGACCTTGTTATTTATATAACCGCATGTGAGAATGCTAAACCCGCAATGTGGAAAAGCTGCGCGTGAATGTATAACCTCCAATTATTCACCAAATTCAATTAATCAAAAATAATTTATAACTAAATTAAAACTCTACTAAAAAATAATGAAAGTATTAAATTTTAGCTTGTTTTATTAAAGAAGTCCAACGTTCAAATCCTGTGCAAGTGCCATGGAAATTTGTTAAAAGCTACTCACAGAATTCTATACCGCTTTTATGAAGAAAGGGGTTTTTTTACGATGCAGTGTACTGACTTAAAAATTCTGCCACTTTCAGATCAGAAAAGAGTGATGAGCGTCGTGTCAACGCCTTACAGTCAGCCTTATCAAAAAGGTCTAAAGAAATCTTGAGCTTTGTAGAGCATAATATTGACGGTTGCATTGAACAAATGTATTTATGTACCAAATACAACAAAACCTTCAGAAAGAAACTATCTGCAAAAGAGCCTCCAAATTATTAGGATCTTGTGATTTCACAGATAAAACTTAATAGATCTGTTTATTTTTAGGTCTATTGTCAGTCTAGTGCTTGACTATGCTGTTCTGTTTGGTCACCACAAAGCAAAACTAACATTAAAATGCTAGAACAGAAAAAAACAAATTTTTTAATTTAATTTCTTTCGGTAATAAAGCAAATTAAGTAAATGTATGTAACTGTAGTGTACCAAACGGTTAGAATGATTTTTCAGAACTGCTCTCATGTCTTAATTTCCATGTCCATAGGCCCACGCCAACAGTAAAATCTAATTGCATCAGTATTTCGTCTGTACAAACTATATTTCTCACTTTTCCATAAATAAAATTACGAATCTGTTCAACAAGCTATCTGTCGTTAGAGGTGAATTGAAGAACAATTTAAAATAAATCCCATATCAGTCGTATTCAATTACAATCTTCCTCTATAGTTCTCATTGTTCCAATCTAGTTTACATTTTTATTATTATTATATATCATGTTAATTTGTAATTTATCGTAGTAATGCTTTTTTCCATCTATATAAATAAACATATAGTTATTAAATAATCACATGTTTTTCTATTTTATGGAGTTTTTCACTTTAAATGATATGAAAAAGCTTTGGTTTAAAAAACTCCATAAAAAAATGTAACATGAACTGATTTATATTTCAATGGCATCAGCAACACTGAAATCGATGTGGGAAATTAGATCTTAAGATAAAACTGAAACTAACCGTGTAAATCTATAAACTATAAACAATTTTTTTATTATAAAATTTCATGGAGATTTATTAATTGATACCCACTCAATCCTATGCCATTTTTCGCAAGAAAAGTTTCATCCATGATAAAATAAACAATTGTTTTTAACTTTACCACTTTCCCCATTCAAAAACATGCTCAAATATTTAGAAAATCTGGTTAAACATATGCTAAAATTTCAATTCTTATTATCTATAAATAGATATATCTATTATCTATTCTTTTTATCTAAGGTCTTGGTTGACTAAAAAAAGTTAGTAACACGAGAGGAATAAAAAGAATAATTAATTGAAATATTTAATTTGGTCAATTACGGCCTAAACATGTTGGGATTAATGTTATATTAAAATGTTAGTATTTTAATGTGTAATATTCTGAGTATTGTTATTACCTTTTTACTTTTTAATATGTTTAAATGTTCAGCAGAAATTCGAGAGACATGTATAAGAAATTATATGTTTGTGAACTTACAAAAAGCATATGTTTAAATTGTGTAGTACAACAATCAATATTGAGTTTTTTCAATATTGAGAAAAAAATTAATGCATATGTTTATGGAGAAAAATCAATGGAATCATTAATATTTTAGGCGATTGATCAAAGCCAACGATTGCACCATAAGCATGGATGTTTGATTAAATATTAAGAAAATGATGGTACTTACATAAATCTTTTTTTTTTCTAACCAATAGCAGGAGCGTCGGGCAACGGTTTAGGCGTTTACACGGTGCTCATCTCTGTAAGGTAAAGGTCCCGGGTTCGAATCCAGCGGCCCAGCCTTCAAACCTAACATATTTACAAATAGGATTCTTTCAAAAACACCGGCGCCGGAGGGTTCATATAACCCTATATATATATTCCAACAACCCCCCGAGTTGAAATCCATTCGTAACAAAAACTAAAACTAAAAATTAAAAAAACGGAAAAAAACTGCAAAACATTGATAAATTTGATAATGCTTTTAGTACCGATAGTTCATACCTAATTGAAATAATCATATTTTGGTAAGAAAAGACTTTTCATTTGTGTTTGACTATTTCATTAAGAGCAATATATTCAAACTATATGGTCGTTCGAAAAATAAAATAATGATTTATATATGAAAATAATTCCTGATATTACAAAAATGTTTACAACTTGAAAATATATTTGATTAAATAAATGTATTGTTTTCAGATCGTGGCGTTGTGCTGTTTTGTGGCGGCCTCGTTCGCCCAGCAGTACAATTATGTTGAAGAGGAGGAGCCTCAACAGTTTGCCCGCCCGCAGCACAGAGCGAGCCCCGGTTTCTCCAGGCCTTCTTCACACGCCCAAGCGGCTCCGAAGCCGACACCAGTACCGATTCTCAAGCAGATAAATAGGTAGATATTTATCCGGTCCAGAAATTTTATGTGACTGTCTCTTATAAAAAAAATATGCTGAATAATAAAAAACTAAAGAAAGGCAAAAATAATTTCTCTTTTCTTTTACGGTCGTCATACAATAATAAAAACTTCTATAGCATTTATTCCATTTAAAAACAAAAACAATGAAATATTTTTATTTATTTACTTTTCTGTCTTACTATTTATCTGTCTATTTATCGATCTATTTATATATGAAATTATACGCTGTATATTTGTTGTGTTTTTTTACTATTTTGTAAGCGCATAGTAAAATAGTATCCAAGATGTTTTACTGTCACTATTTAATTTTCTTTGCTTCGGTTTTACATATTTATACAATTCTATCCTATTTTTTCTGTTACATTGTTTTTCGCTGAGCTTTACCTCTCTCTTTCATTTCCTCTCTCTCTCTCTCTCTCCCCTCGCGTTCTCTCTCTACACTCTCTCTCTCTCTCTATCTATCTATCTCTATCTCCATCTCTCTTGCTTTCTTTGTTAATCCCTCTTTCATTCACTCTCTCTCTATCCATCTCTCTCTTTTTATCTCTCCCATTCTCTATCACTTTTTTTGCTATCATTCTGTCACTTCTCTCTCTCTCTCTCTCTCTCTCTCTCTCTCTCTCTTATCTATTTATCTTTCTTTCTATACCTCTCTCATTCTTTCTTTCTCTTTCTATCTATTTATCTTTATTTCTTAACCTCTCTCATTCTTTCTCTATCTCTATCGGTCCTGCTCTCGCTCTTACTCTCTCTCTTTATTTCTGTCTCTCATTCTACCTCTATCTCTCTTGCTATCTCCCTCTCTCCCTCTTTCACTCCCTCTCTCTCTTTACTTCTCCCATTCTCTCTCACTTCTTTCGCTTTCTCATTCTGCCATTCTTCTCTCTCTCTCTCTCTCTCTCTCTCTCTCTTTCTTCCCTTTTTCAATCTCTCCATTTTCTCTTGCTATCTAACTATCTCTCAATACAAAAAAAGAAAACTATAATTTGTCTATCTCCCCAATATTTCTCAATGCTGAGAAAAAATAAAAAACTGTACATGCCTATATATTTATTTGTTTGTCTATGTGTGTACGCAAATGTAATCATAGATATTTGTTCTTATGTTTTTTTAGATTTGTTTGCACAAAGAAATTAGTTGTTGGGTACGACATTTTATAATTTTCTTCGCTATATCAAAACGCAGACGAAACTAATTTGAAAGTTATTTATCTTTATCTATCTATTTACTACCCCCACACTATTTGATTAAATTTAATAGGAATTTATTTTGTGTTTGTTTTTGGCATTGGCGTTGCAGTATCAGCCATTAAATAACTAATTATACTGTGTTAACTTTTATACAGTTTTCATTTATAAATGCAAAGACCTGGATATTTTTGTGTCCGTAAGTATGGTTTCTAGTTTTGTAGGAAAGTTCACACTGCCGTTTTGAAACTCCTTATGTAACATTCCCCTTTTTGAGACGTCCCAGGATAATATGATTTGCATCGCCGCTCATTCTTCTGTCACATTCACACTCCGCGATACCAATCTTGGCCAAGTGTTATGGCAGCTGGTTGTGGTTAAAACGTAACGAACATATTACCGTAAGGGATTTCCTCGGTCTATTAACTTTATAATACGGGGGTGTATCCTGTATAACAGGTTTGGCCAAATCCCTCTGGCATTATGCGTCATCTGTCGAATGTTTAATTTAACTCCATTCTGAGCCGCTTCTTTTGAGAATTCATTTATGTACCTATTCATGATGTGTTTCAACCCGAATGAAGTGGATGTCGTTTTCTTTTGAACATCAGTAATATCCATTGTCTATTATTACTTGATAGTCGTTAGCTAATGTTTTTCAAGATTATGGCCATGGATGCTTCTAGGTTGGATGTAGCATGTCCCGTGAATGATAGACCAAAATATTAAACTCGATGCAACATAAAGCTGTTGAAAGCGTATACTCTAAGCATTGAATATACAGGGTATCGTGAATAAACATCAGTACTTTAAAAGGTTATCCTGCATGTAAAATGGGCCAACAAGTTCCTTCATTCAAAGTCTGATTCTCAATTATATTCCAGATATTCATTCTGGTTATTTCAACCTTTCACAGGTTTATCACATAAAGTAAATTCACCGAATCTCATAAAATGTTAATTCTATGTTAATATGATTACACCAATGAAAAGAGCATTGATTTAAAAATTTTTTTTAAACTGTAACCTTAAGCAAAAAATAAAACGAAATTGCATACAATATTAACCGTTCCGACTTCTGTAATTTTTGTCTAAAGCTTCAATAAGATTTCCCTTGTACTGTTAACACTGATGCTTACAACAGCTTACTGGTTAACATTTTATGAGGTACGGCGCACTATATGAAAATTTGTGAAAGGTTGAAGAACTTGTGGACCTTAAAATTGAACAAAAAAGATAAAGAAAAATTAAATTGATAAAATAATATAGGAAATTTGTCAATATATTATGACCCTATTTCATCAAGATTTTTAGTCTTGATTCTAGTGGATTTTAATCTCAATTGCGATTCAACTCTTCAACATTAATAAAATATAAACTTATTTTAGTTGCCTGTTTGTATTCAATTAAAACAGCATTTTAGTGGTTGAGTCGCCCAACCCGCACTTTTCGTCATAGATGATTTTCCTAGGTAAGAGATTTCATTCCTTCGAAAGGCTTAACTGGTCGCCACTTGGAAACGTTTATGCGTATTTTTTCTCCACATATTTGTATAACTGCACAAGTTAATTAGGTGGTATTCAAGAAGTTTCGCCCTCTTTCTCTCTCACACGCTCTCTCCGTTTCTCAACCTTTGTAATTATCGCTTTATGCATTTTACACTATCTAATTGTCTATCTTTATTCCTAACAGTCCAAATAAAAATAACTCAAAAGTAATAATTATGATATTGTCAGCTCAACCTCCGTCTTATGGAATGAAAAATTCCAAGCTTTAAATTATTGCAATATTTATGAATTGCATTATTTAGTAAATATTGCATTATTATTTAGTGATTATGTCTCTCGATCTCTATTCCAAAACATTTAATGACAAATTTTCTATCAATTTCTAATAAATTTAATTAAATGTACTCCCATAATCATCAGAAAGAATTGAGTCTATAAATCTAATTTTTCGGAGATCGTGAGATGCGGTCTGATGTGACGTAGGTTTAGTGCAACATTTTCTTTATCGTGCCAAAGTTTCGACCTTTATTGAGATCATCATCAGTGCCTGGATTTATAAACATTGTTTAAATTTTACAAATGCATGTAGGGTGTGAAAAGTTTTTCTAAAACCTAGGTCACACCAGAACGCATCTCACCATCTCAAAATAATCGTTGGCTAACGGTCTCTAAACACCACACATTTCTATAAATTGTATTATTTAATTTATTATTTTTTATAATATATAATATAATATATTCATTATAATATTATNGTCTCTCGATCTCTATTCCAAAATACTGAATGACAAAATTTCTATCTATTTATAATTAATTTAATTAAATGTAAGGTAACCAGTCAAATCAAGAAAAATATACAATTACAAAGAAAAGAGACATAACTCCACTAATCACCAGAAAGAATTGAGTCTATAAATTTATAAATTTAGTGATTATGCCTATAAATTTATATAAATAATTCACAAAATGATATACAAATCATTACATAATTCTTTACTCACTATCTTTCTCTCGTTCTTTAATCTTTCTTTCACTTTCTCTCTCTTTCATTCTTCTCTATCTTTCCATTTTCTCCATTTCTGTTTCTGCCAGTATTTCTTTATCACACTTACCTACTTACCCAACTTATCTTCTACTTATTTTAGTTAAACTTATCTTTTACCTTCCTATTCAACTCCTTTTTGCTTAACCTCCTACATACCTACATATCTGCATACTTAACCTTAACTTAAATTTCTGTCTTACTTACCTCCAACTTTCTACATAATAATTATCAATCAACACAAATACCTTCCTAATGTGCTATTCTCCATACCTCCACGTTTTACTGACCTGCCTATTTACCTTCCAATCTTTCTACTGAACCTCCTATCTACCTAGTACTTACATATCTACTTACTAGTTAATTACCTACTTACCTAAAGATCTGCAACCATAGGTATCTTCCTAATTTTCTATCTTAATTACGTATTATCTTTCTACTTAACTTCCTACTTACCAAGAAAACATATCTACCTCATATTTAACTACCTGCTTACCAAACAATCTGAATACATGGGTTTTTAATTTTCTATTTCACTTACCTACTATCGTTTTAAGTAACCTCTCACGTACATACTTTTCTGAATACGTACCTTTTTAATTTTCAGTCTTACTTACCTTACTTTCAATCTTATTTTCTTACACACCTACCTACTTACCTAGGAATCGAAGTAAATACTTTCCTAATTTTCTATTCCATAAATCTAGCACTCGTATTTACTGAACTACCATACACTGCTTCCTAATTGTCTGTCTTACTTACCTACCTTTTTTTAATCTTTCTTTTCTTCTTTAGTAGTAATGCTAATTATAGGTAATTATAAGCATTTACAAATCTATCTTTATTTTAAATAGATACGAAGTGACACTTCTTCTGTATATCGTATTAACACTCACTTAGAGTCGCTGTAGGGTTCCAATCTTCGAAGAGGTCATAAGACAAGTGAAAAAATAAGACTAAATGCTGGGTTTATCGAGCTTTCATTTATTTATGTGTATTTTTTTGAATTTGTAATAAAATAGGCCTTGATGTTGGCACTATAACGTGCCGAAAGCTCGGTGAACCCAGCATTTAGTCTTCTTTTTTTCACCTGTCTAATGACCTCTACGAAGATTGGCACCCTACATAGATTATCTGCAGGTCGATCAACAAACATCATAACTTAGACTCTCTGTCCTTCTCTATCTGTTAATCGATAAATCTATCTATCGGTTTTGAACCTACATTCCACGATTCTTTTTTCTCTTCTTTGGTTCTTAAATTCTTTATGTTACTTGTGTTTTTAGAATGAACTTAAACCACTTTATTTTTAGTTTCTATGTATATTCATGGATGTTCATGTTCTAATTTTTTTTCTAGTCCACTCATCCGGCTTTCGTGGCAGATAGTGCAATCTTAACTGTTTTTTTTAGATCTAATTTTTACTGTGAAATTACTTATTTTTCGTTATTTGCCTATTTAATGGGGCGTATAAAAACAGGTGAAGAAATTGCATTGACATTAGCTAATTATCCATCATAACTAAGACGTACCGCTCGGCAACGGAGTGAGCAATGCCCGAGGGACGAGAGTTGGCAAAGAGTAATGACAGCAACCTTTGTCAGCCGAAAAGAAAGACGACAGCATTAAGACCGAGTCCATCACGGGCTTCATGCTTTTTTCAAATCAAACTGTGATAATTAATTATTGCTGGCGCGCATTTGCAAACTGGCAGTTGCTCAACTGACCGCTGCAGGAAGCCAGCGGCAAAATTTGTGTCATAGAAGAGAACTTGTTGGTTTGCTTCAATTACGTGTTGGACGGAAGCAGCCTTTGGCTTTAATGACCCAATACCTAGAAACCTGTTTGACAGATTGTCGTATTTATATAATTTTAACCTCATTAAAAATCATTGATAAACTTAATTTGGAATAACAGCAACGTTAACGGTTGTGAAAACTAGTCAGAAAATAGATGTCCAAAAATAACAAGTACCTATGAACAAGGAAGTACTAGCGGAATCCGGAAAGGGCAAATTTAAATATACTTACGCACCGACCTAGTAATATTCTGCAAAGATAGATTTCGATTTAAAAAACATTTATTGTGGAAGAAAGTTGTTTTAGTCATGGTGAATCTTTAATAATTTAAGTTTCACTTTAGCTAACTTTTAAAATTTCTCGTCAAGGTCTATCATTACATTTATCGTGCATTTTATGACTATTTTCAAACCAATTTTGTCTAGTTAACACTTGTAGACAGAATTTCACTTACGGTACTTCTTAATAGCAATGAGAAAACTTTGTGGAGATAACTCTAAAAACATTGATTCTCCACGGCCTTATTATTTGCACTCCAAATTGGACAACTCACGAAATCTTCTTATGACCACTGAAAACGCTAGTTCTACTTATTTGAATAAAAACTATCCCATGGAACCAAAACATTCTACTTTTGAACAAATGGTGTAATCCCATTGTTTTGAAAGCTTAACAATGTTTTGTACTATAATTTATGCAAAAGTGAAAAGTGGTAGCACAATTGACAAACAGTTTAGTTAACATGAATGGGAGTTTTTGGGAAAAACTGGCTAATAATGGAGTGGCACGATATAAATATGCACTGACATGCAAAAATTTCCACCCAACGGATTTTTTTTCTCAATAAAAGAAAATTCTGTCCTTAATTTATCTCTTGTTTGTTATCAATAAATATTTGTTTATGCTGTTTTAAATTGTGAATATCAATTAGAGGTAAACACACTTAATCCTTAATCCAAAACAAGGATTAAAGATTTTTCAATGTTTACTTTTTACGGACTTTAAAATGTTTATTCAGCCTCATTTGAATTCTAAAGCAATAAACTATTTAGTTTTCATCTTTGTTTTCTCAAAGAAGATGGACGTTCAGCAAGGCCCGGTTCTGGACGCCCTAGGGTAACAGAACCTCAGGATGGCCGTTTTTTGACCTTGAGAATTTTGCGATACCGGCACCTTACTGTTGTTCAAAGGGTTAATCAGGAAGTTCGAGGTGTCTTTCTGAAAGCACTGTTGGAAGAAGATTAAATCAGTATGGACTTTTGCTTTTCGCCTCGTAAGAGGACCAGAATTGTCCAGAACACACGGAGATGCACGCTTCCATTTGCTCGAGGACCCAGCCATTGGTGTTGAGACGATTGGGATCTTTTTACAGATGAGTGTAGATTTGCTCTACGACCTCCAGATGGGCGTGTGGAGATGGCGAGATGAAAGCTGCGAAACCTGTAATTTTGCCCAGAGCCGACCTTTTCAACGTAGCTCAGAGCTGTTGTGGGCGGGAATTTCAATGGAGAGTCGCACAGAGTTTGTTGTTGTTCGTGGAGGGTCTTTGACGGCCACTCGCTATGTGAATGAAATTTTGGAAAATCGTGCGTTGCCTATCCTATACGATAATGCCCGTCTACATGTCGCTCTCATAGTACAAACGGACCTTCAACAGCATAACATCAGGGTCTCGGCCTAGCCAGCCCGTTCTCCAGACATGACCCCCATCGAACATTTATGGGATAACCTCAAAAGATGAATAAGAGGACGTCCATCATTTTTTGGTACTCCACGATCTTGAAAAGCCTTTTCGAGAAAAATGGGTTAACCTCCAGCAAAGATACATTTCCAGACTGGTAGAAAGTATGCCGAGGCGTCTTTGAGATGTAATTAAGGCAAGAGGAGAAAATACGCGATATTGAAATGTTAATTAAAAATCTAAAACAAATTTTATCTGTCCGTCTTTTTTTATTTTTCATTTTCCTTACCAATTTATATTTTTTTATACTGTTTTAGATAAAGACTCATTAAACATTAAAAAACGCGAAACTTTGATTAATATATAAAAATATATACAAAACATGTTACATTATAAGTGGGTGGAATTTTTTACCTGTCACTGTATGTTAATGATATAATAACATTTATTAAGCTATTGAAAATTATAGAGGGAAGATTGTGGTGAAATGTCGAAATTAAGAGAATTTTGTGTGTTATTCTTTGATGATATAACTTGCGTTCTGCGTGTAATTAGCAGATCAGGAATTCGGGTGCGCCCTGCTTTCACTCTCGAGACGACGCCTCACGCATTATGCCGACTTTACCTGTTGTCTTTGATTTTTTAGGCACAACGACGACGGCTCCTACACCTACGGATATGAAGGTGCTGACGGAAGTTTCAAGATCGAGACTAAACTCACCACCGGCGAGGTGATGGGCAAGTACGGCTACGTCGACGACGTCGGTAAACTTCGCGTCGTCGAATACGGAGCGAACAAGTACGGGTTCATGCCAGCGGGCGAAGGCATCACCGTCGCTCCTCCAACCCTCGTCGACGAAACCACCGACAAAGACGGTATTTTTTATTTTTTATTTGACGTTAGACATAATAATTCTGAAAATTTGTTACAGGCAGGATGGTCGAAGATTATGACGAACCTGAAGTGAGACCTGCTCCTAAATACAGGCCCGCACCTAAAGCTCGTCCTCAGCCACAGCCTCGTCCTCAACCTCGCCCTCAACCCCAATTCCAAGACTACGAAGAAGAACAAAGGTACGAACAGCCGCAGCCCGTTCAGAATTTCGCTCCTGTACCTCAGAGGTCACAAGTATTCGCACCACAGTGAGTGATATTTAATTTGATTTTTCTAGTAGTGCTAGTAGAAAATTTCAATAATGACAGTATTTTTTAACACAATTTATATCTTACGGGTCCTCAGGCGTTCTTAGTGGATACTGCCCATTTGAGTATCACCAAGCAAAATTGAGGAATACATGTGTCTATTCTGCCCAAAAAAAAAAAAAAAAAATCAGAAACAACACAAGACATTCTGAGCTCAGGTGGTTGATTGATACTAGAAAGTATCCGGGTTATTGTACTTTCCTAACGTACTAACTAAAGTTCAATGCAATCGACTTGATACGAATAAATGAGTGACTGTCGTTGCTATAATTTCTTTCCCAGGTTATGTTTCCGTTGAGTATTTCCTTCAAATTGGAATATGATGTGGTTGGCTGTATCTTCTTTCTCATTAAAGAACCTAAAAGTAGGGTTATCGATGAATAGGCGGTTGTTGTATAGATGTTTCCTCTGATGCTAGTGAACCTAGCAACCTGCACCTCCTCTTCTTCAGGAGAAAATGCAAGAAATAACTTTCTTTTACTCTCATACAAGTCTTGTGATGTTCAAAGTTTTTCTATTTCATTCTGACTTTAATCATGGTTACAATACAAAAAATAACATAAGTTGGTCAATACGGAGTTATTACAAGAATGGCAGATATTTTAGAATGCTCTCAGTTAATATTTTGTCTAGACGCAGACTAGAAATCTGACGCAAATCCCAAATTGCTCAATTGACTATAATAATAGCTAAAAACAGACCCTGAGACGGAAAACACTAAAAGACTTGTACAGTTCTACTAAAGGCTAATTTCAACCAAATAAATATTTTTTTTACAAAATTAAAAAAAGGGGTTTATATATTTTGGATTATTTTGAGACCTCCATAGCAACTTTATTGTACCTGCGATATATTCCCTGTGTGCAAACTGTCTCTTCTGAATTTAAGATTTTCATTTAATTCGTAAAGTTACTTCATTGTTAATATCACAGAATTTCTATTTTGATTATATTTATTAACCATTTCGAGGATTAGGAATCTAATAGAATATCAGAGTTAATGGTGGGTGTTCATCTGTGAGTTGGAGAACATATGTCGAATGGGCATTCGGCCAGTGTATAAACGCCGATTTTGATGTTACTCAAAAAAACGTTCCTTATTGAAGATGACGCAAGGCTGAAACGCGTTTGACTAGCATCGAAACCCGCGAGTATAGACGGACCGAGTAAATGTCACAGTGCCGTTTCAACATAATATGTGGAGTTTATTATTCTTCTCCGCAGAATGTGCAGGTTAGTTTGTTTCATTTATTCCTGTGTTGTTTTAAATAGTTACTACTGAATATCTGAATTTGAATATATTTATGATTTTTTGCTAAAAGACTGTCTGTTGTTTTAAATGAATATTTGGAGATCGCGAGATGCGGTCTGGTGTGATGTAGGTTTTTAGAAAAACATTTTTTTTATCGTGCCAACGTTTCGATCTTTATTGAGATCATCTTCAGGGCTCAAAGTGTTTTCTGGTAGATGTGTCATTCTTGTGTGTCATGTTGAGGGTGCCATGTTGTTTTAAATAGTTACTACTGACTGCTAACAATGGAAGAAGGATTCTACCTATCACTCTGGATTCTATTTGATGGGATTTGCTATGCTTTTGATGTCTTCTTACCCAATTTGTTACGGTTTATTTAATTTATTTCTATTTTCGAATGTCTTTATGATTTATTGTTAAAAGACTGCATGTTGTTTTAAATAATTACAACTGGCTGATAACAGTGGAAGAAGGATTTTACTTACCACCCTGGATTCTATTTGACTGGAGTTTCTACGCTTTAGATGCCTTGGTACCCACTTTGTTTGTATATAGTTGGTTTGTTGTTAAAATACTGCTTGTTCTTTTGAATAGTTACCACTGACTGATAATAATGGAGGAAAGATTTTACCTATCCCCATAGATTCTATTAGATGAGATTTTCTATGCTTTTTACCTTCTTACCCAGTTTGTTACAGTTGGTTTCATTTATTCCTGCCTTTGTATATCTTTATGATTTCTTGTTAAAAGACTACTTGTTGCTTTAAACAATTACAACTAGTTGATAACAGTGGAAGAAGGATTTTACTTATCCACATGGATTCTATTTCATGGGATTTTCTGTACTTATGTTGTCTTAATACCCAGTTCGTTATAGTTGTTGTTACAGTTGTATTATGTCTTGTTAAAAGGCTGCCTGTTCTTTTAAATAGAAACAACTGACTGGTAACAATGAAAGAATGATTTTACCTATCACCCTGGATTCCATTTGATGGGACTTTCTATGCTTTTGATGTGTTCTTACCCAGTTTGTTACGGTTTATTTCATTTATTACTGCCCTTGAATATCTTTATGATGTCTTTTTCAAGAACCGTCTGTTCTTTTAAGTAGTTACTGCAGTCTGATGGAAGAAGTTGTTTACGTACTTGGATCCTATTTGATGGGAATTTCTATGCTTTTGATATCATCTTACTCAGTTTGTTTTAGTTATTCTTGCATTTGTATATATAGATGATTTCTTGCAAAAAGACTGCCTGTTGTTTTAAATATTTACTACTGACTGATAGCAATTGAAGAAAAATTTTGCTTACCACCATGAATCCCTTCTATGCTTATGATTTCTTCTTACCCAGGTTGTGCAATTTATTTTTACATCTGTATATATAGAAGATTTCGTGTTTAAGGACTGCCTGTCGTTTTTAATAGTTACTATTGAGTGATAATAATGGAAGGAAAATTTTACCTATCACCATAGATTCTATTTGTTGGGATTTTCTAAGCTTTTTTTTTATCGTTTTACCCAGTTTGTTACAGTTGGTTTCATTTATTCCTACCTTCGAATATCTATAAGTCTTGTTAAAGGACTGCCTGTTCTTTTGGATAGTAACAACTGACTGATAAGAATAGAAGAAGGGTTTTACCACCCTGGATCCCATTTGATAGACTTGCTATGCTTTGATGTCTTCTTACCCGGTTTGTTACATTTTCTTTCACACTGGTTTCGATAATTATCATAGCATGACTCTCCGCTGTTCGCTACGATGAATAATTATAATTTGCAATCTCTTTGCATCATTTGAAATGTAATAAAAAAGTTTAAAGTTAACTGATGTATCATACATGATTTAATAAAACCTCAATGGTAGGGTATTCCAACAAAAAAAATTTCAAGAACAATTGTACAAAACTTAACTTTTAAAACAATCGTGAGTACATTAACAATTACATAAGTTAAATCATTTTTTTTTATGCGTAGGCCCGCCCCTCGTCCTGCTCCTCAGCCAAGGCCGGTCCAGAGCTTCCAGTCGTCCGGAAGCCCAATTCCTCCAAGGCTTTCCGTCCCTGGCGCCGCCCCCGTTTTCGCTCCTGCGCCCGTCTACGAACAGCCGAGACCCGCCCCCGCCAGGCTGCCGCCCCCACCGCCCCAGAGGCCCGCTTATAGGCCACAGCAGGAAGCGAGGGCCGGCAGGTCGGGAAGCGTACTCGACCAGCTCGCCAAAGACTACGCCCTTCCTCAGGGCAGCGGCAGGGCCACGCACGATATTACTTTCGGCTCTTACTAAGTCATATTTTATCTTCCGAGATCGATCAATTTCTTTTCACTTTTTAATTCCAAAGTGAAATTGTAAATATACATAATATTATTAAAAGATTTTTTTTTAAATATGCATTTTTTATATACATTGGTTCACATTGTTATTTTTTTATGTTATTTTTATGTTGCCTCTAAATTTCGAATATGTATCTTTATTTTTATTTGAAAATAAAAGTGTACAAAGATTTATTTATTACAACTGCAATCCACGATCCAAGTATGAAAAATTCCCTTTATGAAAAAAGGGCTAACATTAAGGATATTTTGAATCCAATTTGTAATAAGTATGTGATGACACAATTAGAATAACACATTAGATTAATATACTGGTGTTTAATTCCTCTTAATAATTTTAATAATAATTAATTATTTTTCTCGGACAATCTGTAATAGTTGTCTGGGTACCTGGACACATAGGGCTGAATATGTGCCCCCGGAATGCAGAGAGTGTTTCTCAATGTGTCCTACATAATTGGAAATGTCACCCCTTGACTTCATAAAGGGAGCGAAAAAAATGCTATCCTATATAAAAATTGTGCTGCAATAAATCTTTGCACACACTATTACTGTAGGTATTTGGGGTTATTTTGGATGGGATTTAACAGCATTTGGGCTGACTTATTACAAAATCCTACTGAAAGATAAACTCAACATATTAAATGTCGAAGGTACGTGCTATTCTATGCAAGTTTGTAGATATCTACAATATTAGTTGTTGAGAAATTTCTGGTTTTAAAAAGACTTTTTGGCCTGAATTCCTATCTATATGGTATTTAGTATTCCTCGGACCTATTAATATCTACACGGAAATGTATGTCTTAAAAATTCTTAATCTCCCTGATTTCCGTATGCCAAAAAACACGTTCTGGTTCTCCACCGGTGTACTACATTTTCCAATTATTCCATCCAACTTGTATATATTAATAATATCTCCGGATGGAAGCTAATCTCGCTTCGCTTCTTGCAATCAACTTGTTTTTTGCTTTAAAGGGATCTTGATAATACACTTCACCTACTTCCATTTTTGCCTGACTCTAATCACCATCTGATTCTGTCTGGTTTGCGGTGGGTTTTTACAATGAGGTTTAGACTAAATTGGCTAAATTACACCCCACTATGAAGGGCCTTCTGCCCTATGTTCTCTATGTAACCCAAAGGTCAGAGAGGACGTGTTCCATTTCTTGGTAGCACAATTTTAAAAGAAATTCTACTGCTCCACCTATGCCGCATTTCCCTGTATAAAGCTGAACTAATTACAATTAAATAAGGTTTTTAGTTGAGATGAAAAAAAGCTAATGACACGAGCGGGATTCGAACCCATGATCTTCGGCTAGATACGCCGCTGCTCTACCACTTGAGCTATCGTGACCTCCATCCACTCGGACACAACTTCCTATCTCAACCCCACCTTATGAGTTTTGCCTCCTTTTTGCCATTTTTCAAATGTGTAATCGGATTGGATACTCGACGACAAATGAAATGGTCACGGAGAGCTTTAGTGAAGTATACTTCATTTTAATCATTAAATTCACTAATTTCGTGGTCCGCTTGACCAATTAATACATTACAATTAATTAAGGTTTTTATTTGAGATGAAAAAAAGCTAATGACACGAGCGGGATTCGAACCCACGACCTTCGGCTGAATACGCCGTTGCGCTAACCACTTGAGCTATCTTGACTTCGATCCACAGAATGGATGGGTTCGACTCCATCTCGTGACTAACTTTTTCATTTCAACCAAGACCTTACATACAAAGAATAATTAATTGAACGAAGTAATTTGGTCAATCAGACCACTAAATATGATGGATAAAACCGAAAACGTTGTACCTATAACTATTACGACTATGTAAATTTTGGACCAATAAATTTCTTTTGAAATCTACTTACCCGTAGTCTTTTTATATTTACTTTGAAAGTCATTAAAGAGGTTTTTGAAATTTCCCTTCCTTTTCAACCTAATTAACATCAGTCATCAATTTACTTCCCTTTTTGCTTTTCCCTCAGGATTAATTCTGGCAAAAACATTTTAGCCACTTATACAACGTTTCATTTGTATTGTCGGTAAGAAAGAAGGCAATAAACCGTTTTCGTCCAGTTCGGCCTGAATCCACTTACAATGAGAGGTTTGGGACGTGGGATTTAATTAAACTTTTTTGGTGATAAGAACTCCGTTGAAAAACAATAGGCACGTGTCCGAGTGTTCTTGCCAATGGGAAAAATTAAAAATTGGGGATTTTTTTCTTTTGCAGATGGATTTCGACGTTATTATATTTACATCAGTAGATTTTTCTTTTGAAGAAAATAATATGTAAATTTAATCGTATTAAATGTGATTAGAAAATAAGAAGTAACAAAATGTAAAAGACATTCCAATACAGTAGGACGATTGTTGCTTTTTGATTTATGATGTGTTAATACACCATAAAAAACTACTAAAACGAATTTTTATAGCAAACAAATAGACAATTTTGGTGTTGTTTGACTAAGGGTAATTTTTTCTATCATGTCTGTTGTGTCACTTAAAAATTCGTAACACCTCTGAATTTTTACCAATAGCAATATTATTACAACCGTTAGAAAGCTTAATTTCTCTTCTTTGGGCTATGTTTATGAGATTTTTCATTAACGACCTATATATGAAAAAATTAGGATGAGATCATCAAAAACTCCACAAACGTTTTATTTTATATCGAGTTAAATTTTATTTATGGAGGCGAAATGTAAACCGCGTCGGTTATCGGGCCCTGAATCTCTGGTAAGTTTCTTGTGGCTGTTGAGTGAGAAGGTATCATCATTTTCGTAATTTTCGGAGGAAAATCGGTGTCATTTGGAAGGCGAAAAATTTGAAATTTTTTACTATTATCCTAAAAATTTGTGTTCAAGAAGTTTTTGAGTGCAAAAAGAAACAATATTGACTTTGTTTCCGCCTAAGAAAATATTTTTACAAATTGTCAAATTTGTATTTTACTATACGCAATAGCCATAATATAGCTAGTCGTGATCCAGTGACGCGATTTTGCAAAGTATGTGTAAAAAATTTTAAGAAAAATTCTTTACTCTCCCACTTAAAATTAAAGCAAATGAAAGAAAAGCATGCTAAAGATATGATAATAATACAGACAAATGAGGAATTGTACAATTTGCACATTTTAAACGCAAAGAAAAAATAATAGTTTATATTTATTGTTATCAATATTATTAAAATAATAAATAATTAATAATATCACAAACATTCAACAATAATTATGTTTCGAAAATAATTACAATATATTAACGAATATTTAGCTCAGGTGTTATTGTTGCTCACAGTTTTTACTTTGCTTTGATTCGTGCAACAAGTATTACGACGTAAAACGACAAAATAACAGACGACATAAATATGAACAAAAGTTTCTGCGTTTTGCCCTAACCTACCTACCTTCTCCCCAAATCTACCAGCTTTTACTTGTACCCTACATCGACTTTCATGACTCAGTAACAGTTGTTATTCTGATTTGATACGAGCAACAAGAAATTTTAAAAATGAACAAAGGAATAGGGAAGAAGAAAATATACAGGGTGAGAAAAGAAAGAGGACAACCTCATAAAAAGGAGCTGCTAGAAGATAAGGACAAAGCAATGGAAGAGACTTTAGAAGCGAAATTGAAAGGGATATGCCACCAGTTGGACGACGATGCCGATGTCAAGAACATACTAGGTAAGTTACTTAACGCGGTTTTCATTATTATTTTGAAAAAATGGTTATTATCTGTAACATGTTATAGTTACTACGAAAATTGAACCAGGTTTAGCTTCAGAAGTTGAACATGTCATGTCTACAACTGGTTCGTATTGTTATTTTATTTGTCATAATAGCATTTGTGTATCGTGTATGTGTTTTTGGCCGAAAATAAAGAGCCTATGATTGTGCCACTTTTAGTTGAAGCAGGCGGTTCAATGCCGACTGACGACTCTACAGTCAGTGTAGCCAAACTGAGGAAGCGTACTGCTACAACACTTCGAACACGTAAGTAAAATCATTAATTATTACATTTAGTATTTAGTATTCTTTTACTTAGTTTTTCTTATGTGTTTAGGCTTACTGAAGCGTCTGATGTCCGATAAAGTAACCCAGTTGATTGATGCGAAGATATCAGCAGCTGAAACGTCAAAGGCTCTGCAAGAAGAATATTATCAAATTCGAAAAAAATTAATGTTAGAAGAACACGAATTAAAATTAAGACAAATGAAAGAAAAGCATGCTAAAGAGATGGTAATATTACAAACAAATAAGGAATTGTACGATTTACACATTTTAAACGCAAAGAAAAAATAATATTTTATATTTATTACTATTTATTGATATCAATATTATTAAAATAATATATAATTAATATGTATCACAAACATTTAATAATAATTATGTTTTGAAAATAATTGATAAATGTCTCTTTTTTGTTTTCTTTGGAGCACGAAGCTTTTTTGTGGTGGAATTAGCTATCCATGTGAGGTATGTTCTCCTTTATGTCGCAAGTCATATGTGTATTATGTCGTATGTGAAGTATGTCTGTTGCAACCACTATTGCTTCCAGTCTTCCACCCACCCTAGGTTTACCCGTAAATAATACACCTAGAATATGACTTTTGTTTGATCAACTTAAAAAATAATATTTATGAATCAAAAGAACGGTTACTCGGCAAAGCTTCTTTCACATTTCTAGTCCTAAGTAGATATTCATTATATTGGCATCGATAAAAGAAAGGTAAATATATCAATTTCGCCTTTGAATATTTTTAGGCTTAGAAAGTATTTTTTAATGGAAAACCTCTTTTCTCCAACTAGTGATATCTCCAAGTAGCCTCTCTTGGCAAAGTTATTATTTGTGCGTTAATACACTAAGTTGAATTTTGTATTGCGTTAAGCTTGATGTAGCTTACATAAAGATTTTATATGTTATTTACTATTTAGAAAACTGAAGTCAGAAAGTTTAGAGTAAGATTCGGTTCGTAGCTGTACGACGAATCCCCGCTGAAAAACTTCAAATATTAAAATGACCGTATCTGTACATGGGAGCTTCATTGGGAGAAAAATGCCTGTATCGAAGAAGCAAATCTCTTTGGTGTGACGATAGATGCAGACCTTAGGTAGACCCGTCACCAAAAAGTGAGAAGGGAAGAGCATCACGTTCGAGCAAAATGAATTGGCTAATGGGCGGGGTTCATCATTGCCTGTCGAAAGCAACTTTCTTTAATCTATACCTGTGAGGGTTCAAGGAGACCTTGGAAATCGATCTGGGACCGGAACATCAAGACCAAATTCAAACCCACCTCAACGAAGCAACGTGATCCGGTATACGTTAGACACCAAATTCGGTGTAAAAAAAACTCTTAGAACAAGTGAGCAGGGAATCTTTTCTAACAAGTGATTAAGCTCATTGATACTTAAGATGTATTGGGGCTGTACTTAGAAGCAAATATGCGACCTGGTTAAAGATAAAGATATTGCTTGTAAATCACCTCATCTAAAAAGGATGGATTAAAAAGTATTTCTGATGTCATAACAGTTGAACATATGTCAGGCTGGGCAGAACAAATGAAAAATTAACAACGCACTATCTATACACAAAATATGTTTAATATGTTAATGAATGTTTCGAGACGAAAGAACTTAACAATTCAGCTTATTCCGTCTTGATATCCAAATTGAAACGCTTTGTCGATGTGGCAGGCTTGGTCATCACCTCTTTGAAAAAGTCAAGAACTTCGTAAATAGGTTGGTAGATCGTCGGAGCGAGGACCTCTCCACAGGCTGGCCCCCAGGAGACGATGCCGAACCCGTAGCCATTGCAGACAAGAGATCCACCCGAATCACCGGTGCAGACGTCTTTCCCGTCAGGGCCGACGGCGCAAAGCATTTCGAAAGAATTTTCGTTCATTGAGCAGAAGCCGGTATGGAATTCGCAAAGGATACGAAAGCAAGCCGAGTTTCCTATCAGTTTGACATCGAGGATCAACAGATCGTCAGAAGGCAACGAGTACTTCTTTAGAGGTTCGACGACCGCGGTGTTGCCCCAGCCGATGGTCTGACAGAGCACTTCGTACTCGGTCAAATATTCCCTATGTTCGAGGTAAGCGCTTTTCTCGAAAGAAAGAATCGGCAACGGTTGGACGAATTTGTGCATTCTAAAAGGAGTAACAGTTTTCAACAAGGCGACGTCAAAGACCAAAAACCGGTTTCTCGTAGCGCGGCATTTGGGATGGACGAAGGCATAGTCAACGTTTCTCACCTGGGAACGTTTACTCGGAAACCGAAAACTGCTCCCTGCGACCAAACGCAGTTTTCGAATGTCATAAGTTCCAAGTCTTCCGTGGGACATGTTGTAATGAACGATGCAATGGCAAGCCGTCAACACGTACCATTTGCTGAGAATCGAGCCGCCGCATCGCTGCCTGGTGTACGACTGAATGCTGACTGCGTACGGAAACTGATTTTCACCAGCTTTCTGACCGCTGATGACTTTATTCACTTGTAGCGACTTGACAGAATAGATAACGATTATAAATAAAATGTATGTAAACTTCTCAAATGTATTTATTGTCATTGTGGATTTGATAAATCTATAATTTAAACTATTTCACCTAAATCTACATTATAACTACAAACAACAGATTTTTAAATAATATATTTTCCATGTAAATTCAATATGTTAAATTTTGTTTTCACTAATTAGAAGTTAGTTATATTTATAAAAAAATAATTCTGCACCCGTTTTCAAAATTGAACCTTGGGTTTTAGTAGTCCGGGTAGTTTTAGTCTTATGACCCTTCTCCTAAGTTACGCCCAGGGGTCCAACGCTATTGCAGCCCCAAATCTTATACACACTGAATTTTAAATACACTTTCCTAAGTACATAACTTTCACTCATTTAGAGTGATAGAGTTCGCGACATTCGCCCTTTATATATACTAGGGGTATTCACGATGTTTGTTAGATTTTAATTCGTGTTAACTCGAATGGAGAAATGCCGAGTAAGATTCTGAACGCCTTCTTTGTTCTTAGCATGTTAAATGTTAATTTTTCCGCAATGCTGCGTTTGGCGACTGGTAGAACCAAAATTAAAGCTATAACAGTCCTCGAAGGCTTGTTGTTGTTGTTGTTGTTATGGTTTTGTTTTGTATTAAATTGTAAGAAGCCAGAATTAGTAAAAAAGGGAAAATTAATCAACTCTTTCATTCAAAATGCTATATGTGCACTCGAAAAGAACTAACAAATGACACGCATCAATTCGTGCCCACGTACCTAACGTCTAACAGCCTACAATTTTAAAGGACAGGGGATGTATCTTTTATAATTGAGGGCATAAGGACAGGTCAGAAATTAACAAAAGAAATGTATTGGTCTGATTTAATTAATGCGAATTTAAGAATACAAAAATACGTGGAAACAAAAAACAGCTGTTAAATTCATGGCTGCCATGTTGGTTACCTACGCTCTAACGGATAGCTATGTGACTACATTTTCGACTTAACCTCTAACATTGGCCCTGGCCTGTTAGTCCGAGCAATGCTAACTAGCCGATTGTTACAATTCTACTTAATCATTTTTCTCGATCTAACACGACCTAACAGGGTTAAACAAAGATCGTGAATACCCCTACTATATATTTCTAACTAATTTAATAGAAGGTCTATGGAGTACTCAATATTTCACCGTCTACCCTCTCACACAGCACGTTTACAGTAATAAATAAATACATTTATTGTCAATAGACGAGACATCTATAAAACACTATATACAGTAAAACTAGGATCCTCAAAAATAGGAACATGGCACAAAATATTCGCCGTGCTCATCACAATTCTTATACATGATGGCATTAAATACATGCTCTCTGTATGGAGCCAAAGCATCCCCTTCTATTACGTGTCGACCTCGCTTGACCTATTCTTAGTTGGGAGAGTATAATTCCTCTTCTTCTATTCAAGCTCTACAACGGCTATCATCTGAGCTTTTGATAAGAGAGCTTCTCTGTCAATAGCTTACCGACTGCCGCCACTTTCTTTTAGTCTAAGAGAGGAACGACAGAAGACTCCAACTGGGTAGAAGAGTAGATGTAAGGACAAAGATCAAAACAAAATCTTGATAAACACGAAATTTACATTGATCAATAACTTTCTCTCTCTCTCTCTCTCTCCATCTCTCTCTCTCCCTCGCGTTCTCTCTCTTTCTATCGTTCTCTCTCTCTTTCTCTCTCTCTCTCTCTCTCTCTCTCTCTCTCTCTCTCTCTCTATCTATCTATCTATCTATCTATCTATCTATCTCTATCTCCATCTCTCTTGCTTTCTTTCTTAATCCCTCTTTCATTCACTCTCTCTATCTCTCTCTTTTTACCTCTCCCATTCTCTATCACTTTTTTGCTCCCTCATTCTGTCACTTCTCACTCTCTCTCTCTCTCTCCTCTCTCTCTCTCTCTCTCTCTCTCTCTCTTTCTCTCTCTCTCTCCCTCGCGTTCTCTTTCTATCTATCGCTCTCTCTCTCTCTCTCTATCTATCTATCTATCTATCTCTATCTCTATCTCTATCCCTCTTGCTTTCTTTCTTAATCCCTCTTTCATTCACTCTCTCTATCTCTCTCTCTCTTTTTACCTCTCCCATTCTCTATCACTTTTTTGCTCTCTCATTCTGTCACTTCTCACTCTCTCTCTCTCCACTCTCTCTCTCTCCGTAGTACAGACACATACCAGTAACATTATGTAACTTATGTAACTCATACTTGAAAATATTTGTGCACAACATGTAAATCTCGTAATTCTTTGGACTCACTACAAAACTAACTTATAGTTATTTGAAAAATGGCAAAAAGAGGGAAAATTGAAAGGTTGGGTTGAGATGGGAAGTTGGTGTCCGAGTGGATCGAAGTCACGATATCTCAAGTGGTAGAGTAGCGGGTTTAGCCGAAGGTCGTAGGTTCGAATCCCGCTCGTGGCACTAGCTTTTTCATTTGAACAAATACCTTACATAAAGATTAATTAATTGAAAGAAGTTATTTGGTCAATCGGATCACAAAATATAATGGACGTAGTTACTGTTCTTTACTAAAAGAATTTGGTACTGGTCTGTTTGCTGTATAAATTTGCACACAGCAATGGCATGATTTCTATTTTATGTTACTTTCAGATTTAGTAAACAACTGGCGTACGTCTTAATTACAAAGTTTTTAGTTGAAATTTAGCAGCTTTCCGTCTCAGTTATTTTTTTTAATAGGCTGTAAAACAATTACATCTTTTTTTTCGACCGGCTAACTACTAGGCTCATTGCCGGCACCTCACGCATATAAGCTTCCCGCAATTTTCTTTGTTTCATTTCAACTTTAACTCTATCTCATTCACTATGTCTCTTCTCTTAATTTTGTTTCCTACCGACCAAACAGAGGAGTGTCTTGTTGCTCGTTCCTACCATCCCACACATGTTTGTTAAAAATACTTCATATTTACAGACTCACTAACAATACCCACTCACGCTAAGAAAATGATTACTTAATCTACAGTTGGCAGGGCTCAGAGTACAGGTGCACGACTGAGGTCCTGCCCCTACAACTAAATAAAAAGTCGGTAGGATAGCCATAATCCTACCGACTTCCTTCCACTCGTGCTGATACATACATTCATACAGTATGTACAGAATTTCATTCATCCATTAAACTAATTGCCTTTTGACGGGCTTGTGGAGTACTCGATATTCCTCGACATCCACGTCCATTTATACAAAACATTCACGCTAATAAATACATCCATATTTGAGAGGTCGACGCATCTCGGTAGTATTACTACAACCTTCATAGCGGTGACCTGTCCCTCACATCACACAACAAATATATAATTACCTAAACTAATTTGGCAGGCCTGTGAGATACTCGATATTCAGTCACAGCCATACCCAGACATCCTCATAACCCACGGTAATAAATACATTCACATTGCAAAATGGAGATATACCACGTTGGTAGGTATCCATACGCATTTATTAATTTTAAGTACCTAATAACATTATCTTTGAAGACACTGTTATGCTTAAGAACTATTTCCAGATTAGATGGTAGGTCACACCGTTCTCGGTACTCTCTTAACTCATTACATTCCTCCAATAGGTGTCTCACCGTTACCGGGTTTCCACAGAGTGGGCAGCGTTTTTGACTTCTACCCACTAAGAGGTGACCGTGCGTGAGACGGGTGTGACCTATTCGCAACCTTCTTAATATTATTTTGTTACGTTTTTCCAAATTCTCCACGGGCCATGGCCTCACCGTACTTTTATGTATTTTTAGTTTTTCATTACTTTCGTTCTAGCGAGCCTGCCATTTACAATAAATCGAATTTTTCATTTTTGTTTTTAGAACCATCGGGCTTTTGGCTGTGAAGGGGGAGAAATTTTATTCCCATCATTCAGATTCTTCATTTTTCCAATTGTGGTTGTTTTGTTTTTGAGATAATATTATGTCCAGTTTCATAATTAGCATAACTGTTTTGGGCCTGATAATTTGATAGGATTAAGATAAATACCGGTATAAGTGTAATGATTTTTGCCCGGTTGCCAAAAATATTTATATGAAATGACTCGTGTTCTGATTGGTCAAATATATTGTTTGTTGTCACATTAAATACGTAGCAATATGGAAACGCGTTGTCCTTTGAAGATAAGTATACATCTGACCCAGATGTAATGTTTATGGAGTAATAAATTATAAATAAACGCACACCTCAATCAATTCTTGAAAACCCAAAGATCAGATCGAGATTGCATGTCGATTGAACCTTGACATTCTTGGAAATATTGGATTTTTGAGCAATCACCTTTCTTTACACTTGGCATACGAAAGTAAATTATCCTTTCCTTATCTGTGCAACCAATCGACTCATACACGTTTCCCAGATAATCTGAACCAGGCTTTGCCCTAAAAGCGCAACGCTTAAAACACCCCAACCAGATACATATGAGAACAGCGAACATTTCGAAACTATCTCACATCGATAATTATTGCAGATCGGCGTATAACTTTGGGAATAGGCGAACGTACGCACCTCTTTCCCACGTCACATCTCTTTGGCCGTTTTCGTCTTATTGTTATTTTATTAATTAAAAGCAATAATTGCTGAGAATCTTGGCTGTTTTTCACGCAGGGGCTTAAACGCTCGTTACGTCAATGTCGACACCCGCGACCGTTTTTTCTCTTAAAAACAATTCTATTAAAAAGCATTAAATTTGAACGCAAGTAAATTACTCAAAAAATATAAACAAGATGATGGGTAGGAAATAAATTGTCGTTTCCTCAACAAGCATTTATTAAGTTAAAATCGTTTCGGTCTAATATAGGCCATCATAAGCGACTTTTTTATATGGCTTGTCAGTTTTTTTACATTCTTATAAGTTCAAGAGAGGATGTCTGATCGGCTATGGACTTGGCGAGTAGTACTTGACAGACTATTTGCCAAGTCCTTAGTCGACCAGACATCCACGCTTGAACTTATATAAGAATGTTAAAAACCATCAAACCATATAATAAAGTACCTGAATATGGTTTATATTAGACCGAAACGTCTCTGATTTAATAAATGCCTATTGTGGAAAAGACAATTTATTTCCTACCCACCATCTTATTAT